TACAGAGAGACAGTTGTCAAGCTCTAACCAACCGAACTACAGAGAGACAGTTGTCAAGCTCTAACCAACCGAACTACAGAGAGACAGTTGTCAAGCTCTAACCAACTGAACTACAGAGAGACAGTTGTCAAGCTCTAACCAACCGAACTACAGAGAGACAGTTGTCAAGCTCTAACCAACCGAACTACAGAGAGACAGTTGTCAAGCTCTAACCAACTGAACTACAGAGAGACAGTTGTCAAGCTCTAACCAACTGAACTACAGAGAGACAGTTGTCAAGCTGTAACCAACCGAACTACAGAGAGACAGTTGTCAAGCTCTAACCAACCGAACTACAGAGAGACAGTTGTCAAGCTCTAAAGCCTAGTTCTCATTCATCGCAAACTGTCACCGACGATCGGCGACGCTTATTGCCGATGCTCGCCGATCGCGAATGTACGAAAGTTCTCATACATCGGCGAACGTCGCAGATGACAGCCGATGTGTTTCGAAATTTCCCACCAAGGCACAAAATGGCCCCGTTCAACGTAAAGATCATGATTTATGTCAAACTTCAGTTGATTATTTCCTTGCTTGTTGAGGAAAAAACAACTTTTACTCATTTTTCATAGATTTTTCAAGCAGGTGGCAGTCGGCGATGGTCGCAAGAAACAAACTTTTTTGTTTCCTGCGATATCATCGCCGATGGTCGGCGACGATCATGGAAAATCGGCGATATAATTTTTGATGTGTTCTCATAAATCGCAAGCGGTCGCCGACGTCGCAAAGCTCCCATCGCCGACGGTTTGCGATGAATGAGAACTAGGCTTAACCAACTGAGCTACAGAGAGACAGTTGTCGAGCTCTAACCAACCGAACTACAGAGAGACAGTTGTCAAGCTCTAACCAACTGAGCTACAGAGAGACAGTTGTCGAGCTCTAACCAACCGAACTACAGAGAGACAGTTGTCAAGCTTTAACCGACTGAGCTACAGAGAGACAGTTGTGGAGCTCTAAATACTATCATAGTTATTTGCTCAAAATAATCTGATGTCGTAAGATCTCATGTAGGTGTACTGTTAATACTCGTATTAAAACTTTGATTTTTTACCTCCAACTGTAACTTTGACAAGTTCTTTTTCCATCACAAAGAATCGTCCTGTGATGGTTAAAACGGTGCCCCCACCAACACTGCCTGATTTCGGAGATATCGATGTAACATCTAAACATTGAAATCACAATACGTTTCGCAAACTATGTACAGCATATATCCCATACAACATGGCATGTTGTGCATTGTATGGCATGGTATGGTATGGTATGGTATGGTGTACTGTATGGTCTATGGTATGACATGGTATGGTATGGCATAGTATGGTATGGTGTTGTATGGTCTGTGTTATGTTATGTTATGTTATGTTATGTTATGTTATGGCATAGTATGATATGGTGTACTGTATGGTCTATCGTATGGTATGTTATGGTATGGTATGGTATGGTATGATATGTTATGATATGGTGTATGGTCTATTGTATGTTATGTTATGGTATGGCATGGTATGGTGTTATGTTATGATCGATATGGTGTACTGTATGGTATGGTATTGCATGGTATGGTATGGTATGATATGGTATGGTATGTAGAATGGTCTGGTATGCATATTTTACCTGCATGAGCTTGATACTGGTAAACAGTTTCACTCGCATCTACATAAGTGACCTCATCAATTGGTTTAGAACGACCAGCTTCACCAGACACAAGATAAGATACTAAATAAGATCCTGATACTGTCAATTCTGATCGACATATTAAATATCCATTGGCATTCGACTCATCCACCCACGTCCCGTATCTAAAGAAGATGAGATAACTGTATAAATTTAAAGACTTGGCAATGGGTTAAAATTTACCAATAGCCTCTAAACGAAACCTACGGTTCCTCTGTTTCCTTGTTATTGGTATTACAGTTCGCGCCACCAATGTACACCCTGAAATACATCCAAAACACTGAACATTAACTAAAACAAAATTTGATCAGAAAACTAGCGAGAGAGCACATGGAGGCAAGCAAGTCATGTATTTAAACCCACGATTTAGAACAGAAATTTTTCATTTTTCCATAATCATGTGGGTACTATCTGCCTAAAATAACCATAAGGGCTAGATGAATCAAGCACACAAATCTCAAGCAACGCTTGGCAAATAGACAGTCACAAACAAAGGACAGTCAACATATTAATTCATTGCACTATTGAGCAGAATCACAGAGAAAACAATCGCCACAAGATTATTACTGTATTTTCAAAATTTACCAAATTTACAGGAAATTCAATTTTTACCAAACAGTCAGGAAATTCATGAAATTTATCTATAGATACATATTCTCATACTTCCTATGATCTTACCCTAGGTAGCGTGCATATAAAACACAGAATATTCAAACTTTATACCGTATAATTTCTTTCCCGTCTGGGTTGAAGTTGTCACCATTGCCATCTGAGAGTCGACCAACCTGGGCGGTCATAACTCTGCCTGTTATCTTTATTACGATATCTGAAGAATGAGGCGGAGGGAATGTTATATTAATTTGGAGGTTTTCAGTAAGCATTAGGGGGCAACAGATGGTAGTCATCAGAAATGTCATTATATAATCACGTAGTCATTAGTGCATGTAAAAATCTCACAACTTGTCAACAAGATGTGTTCGCAACAGGCTTGTAGCAAGCTTGTCAATAAGTTGTAGCAATGCTGATATTTTATCAAGTTGCCACAAGGTTGTCACTCACAACTTGTTGAGAAGTTGTTGAAATACAGGACGATAACACGTTGTTGGAACAACTTATAACAAATCTGTTGAGTTCAACAACCTTGCAGCAAGTTGTCATCAAGCCGTTAAGAACTTGTCAACAAGCTGGGAACAAGCAGTGCGAACACATCCTGTTGACAAGTTGTTGGAACAGCATTAGTACAAGTCTGCTGCAGGTTTGTAACAACGTGTATAGATGGCTTATTAGTTATTACCTGGTAGACCTGCTTGGAAGTTCATTTGAGTGATCGTCGGAGTCCTCCATTTATTGAACTAAAAAATGAAAGATTGTTTGTTGAGCATCTTTTGCCAATGGCTACTTAAGGCTGCATGAAGAGTTACACCTAGTGGTTCCTAGTCAATCAGTCATAGAAGTTGGGGTCAATGGATTATGTTTTTACATCTATCTCTACCCCTTTTCTTAAGGTGTGTCCCACCCCTCCCCAATTCCTCTCTCCCCTATTTCTCACAAGCGTTCTTCTTCTAACCTCCTCCTAAGGTGTTTTCCACCCCCTCACATCTCATTTTTATACACCTACACCTTTCCCACAATACTCGGAAACTCCATATTCACTCACTTACATAGAATTTACACGATCCCCCACAATATGTGTTTGAACTTCCCCCTCCGAGAGGTTGATCGTTCACTTTGATGTTGAGAAAGTATACGTCGCCTTCGTAACCTTTTGGTGGGACACTTGAAAAGGAGAATAAGAAATAAATCCTAGTATTCTATAATTCACAGTAATGTTGTTTATATAAATTTCCAAAACGTCTTATAATAATTCATGAGGAAAATGCAAAAGAAATCACTGCCGTGTCGGTGGTTTTATACCAGGTGATCTCGTGTTCGTATTTTAGCCAATCAGCGCTCAGAAAGGGTTGTCCGAATAGAAATCCATTTTGATGTATTCAGTCAATTATATCTTTCGTTATTTTTTATGAAACTAGTTGAAATTTTGTAATTATGTTTGGTTATGAGAACTATAGCTCTGACAAAAATAAGGAATCGAAATAAAGTATATTACAGGAGATATTCAGTTGTTTTAATCATAAAATGGATTTCTATTTGACAACTAGTGCCAGTACTTTTCCGCGTATCAAGATCATCTGATATGTGATAAAAAATCATGTTCATTACATAAACTTTAGCTTTGATACATTTCATATGTCCATTGGACATTTCAAATGTCCATTGGATCCAATGGACCATTGGACATTATACTCATTCAATATATCCACGATGCCCAGCCCCAAGTCCGGTTTAGTCCATTGGATCCAATTGACACTCAAATATCCACTCAAATATCCAATGGACATTCGATATGTCCATTGGAGATGCACATTTGAGTTGTCCATTGGATCCAATGGACAGTCGTATGTCCAATGGACATTTCATATGTCCATTGGACATTTGCGTTAGTATTGGACATGTATGGATTTTCTCGGCTTAGACAACGTTTGGTTTTAAAATTACTTCGCCAATGAACTCATCAGATGAGTCGTTTTTTAAGCCATTTAAAACATTCGCGGTCCATGCTTTATGTTTTATATCTGATAAAGCACTCATGTTCGTGTTTTCAATAGTACATCAGGATATTTGGCATCCACACTCGGTATAACTCATTTGTAGACGAGTAGATGAAAATTGCGAGTGTGAATTTTATATCTTTAATTAATTTTATACATATTGAATTTTTTGCTCCTTAGTCAACATGAACTTGTGGTTAGAGCTCGACAACTGGCCTCTGTAGCTCAGTTGGTTAGAGCTCGACAACTGTCTCTCTGTAGCTCAGTTGGTTAGAGCTCTACAACTGTCTCTCTGTAGCTCAGTTGGTTAGAGCTCGACAACTGTCTCTCTGTAGCTCAGTTGGTTAGAGCTCGACAGCTGTCTCTCTGTAGCTCAGTTGGTTAGAGCTCGACAACTGTCTCTCTGTAGCTCAGTTGGTTAGAGCTCGACAACTGTCTCTCTGTAGCTCAGCTGGTTAGAGCTCGACAACTGTCTCTCTGTAGCTCAGTTGGTTAGAGCTCGACAACTGTCTCTCTGTAGCTCAGTTGGTTAGAGCTCGACAGCTGTCTCTCTGTAGCTCAGTTGGTTAGAGCTCGACAACTGTCTCTCTGTAGCTCAGTTGGTTAGACCGCTGCACCGGAATCGTGGGGTCGCAGGTTCGATTCCCGCCAGAGGGCCTATAGTTGCATTTTTCACAACTGCTCCTGGTTAGGTCTAATAAATGTATAAAATTCACACTGGAAATTTCCATCTATATAAAACCCTTCCACAATTAGTTTATTCAACTCACCCAGTTTCACATGAGATCCGTGTTGGTGATGTGTCGGTCTCAACGACACTACATGGAATAACGACGCCTCGCGCAGAAACCAACGTCACTTTATTGCCAAGTGTTGGATCGTCAAACGCAAACTGATCAGCAGAAAAACCTAAAATGTACACGTTGCAATATCCATGAGCATTGGAGGGGG